AGGGCCGAAAGGAGGGATCACTGTAACATAGCGAACCCTCCTTCCCTGGTAATGGCTAGCTCTATAGCTCCCATCGAACCTGCCTCTCCCAACAATGACCGGGATGCACCGGCCCATCCCCACACCCGTCGGCCCCACTTCCTCTCCCGTGGCCTCCGTTCCACCCGGAAGGCCATTCAAACCACACATTCTGGGACGAGAGGCGGGTCCAGGCCCCCATCCACTTCTGCTTCTGCACTCAGTGGAGGGGGCACCAGGTCTCACTCTCAATCCCCTCATACACACTGGCCAGACATTCTCCGCATGCATACCCCACTAATAGTAAAATGTTAAAATATACAATAAAAACAAGATAAAAATTTAAGTCTAGAACACGTGGGAACATTCTTTCAGCCTTCCATACCAACATTCACTCCTACATTCAGCAAACAAAGATGGGCGCCGTTCTTGAGCCATCAGGCAGTTGGCGCAGCTTTGAGATAAATAAGATTAGTAATAGAACAAGAGAGAAAAGTCTTTGCATTCAGAAGCTTCTTCTCCGCTGGGTCCAGTAGAAGGGACAAAGTTCTACAGTTTAAAGTAGATGGGGGGGTTAACCCCGGTCGAGGGGGAGAGGACAAATTCCCTACCCACGTCCTCTTTGTCCTCCGCTTTCCCTTTCTGCAAGGATTGTAAATACAGAGTGGCATGCAAGGCTCTTGGCGAAGACGGAGATCGAAGGACTCCATGGCCAAGCAGCAGCAGAGTGGCAAGGGTGGGAGCGGTCAAAAGGTGGAAACAGTTCAGGGAGGCAGCATTGTCTGGAGAAGGCAAGCCAGGAACAATCGCGGATGGTAGCGGCAATGGTAGTGGGAGGCGGAGGCGGAAGTCGGCCACTGTGATCACAAGCCAGAATTACAGCATCCGATCCGTGGCAATGATGATTAAATGATGGTTAAGTCAGAAGGGCTGTGATGGAAGGGGGAGGGGAAACGCGCTAGGGTCGATGGTAAGGAGGCCAGTCGCACGGATCCATAGCGCAATAATGTTAAACTCACCAACCCCCAGGGCGGCAGTACGGCTCAGCGGCGTCTCGTTGGCGAAAGCAGGGCCGTGGTGTTCCAAATTCAAGCTAACAAACTGCCGTCAGATGGAAAATTGTCGCCCGTGGGACGAAAGGGAGGGGGCACCCAGAGGTCGCTCGTCGCCCCTCAGCACTCGGCACCCTCAGAGACTGTTCATAGCCACCAGAGTAATGCCCTCAGGCAAAGCATCACTCCGCAGCCAAACGCCATCCCAAATTCAAACCAGGCTCGTTGCCAGCTAGAGAACCGCCATCCTTGAGGCAGGGGTGCCGCCCAAAGGCCGCTCGATGCCGTCTGACAATGCTGAAAACCGCCCAAAGCCGCCAAGGCAGCGTTTCACTGAGTAATCACTGAGCATTTTGCTATAAGATTTGCTGAAAGCTCAAGAGCTGAAACTCAATCAAATAAACATACTTTAGTATGTGTTGAGGGGGTGGGGACTTGGCTTTAATAAATGTTTGATGGCTCTCTGGTTCCTTTCCTTGTAACCCTCTGAGAATTACATGACTTTAAAAAAGCCTGATTGTTACTGTGGAAGCTACCTTTCTGCATATGCAGTAAAGGTTGTTGACCAAAATCTATAGTCATAATTGATAGGTTGTCTTTATGAGATTTGGTAAGGACGAAATCTATGTAGTCTTGTCTGGGCAAGAAATGTAACAATCATAAATTAAAGCAAGGGTGGTAAATCTTAATTTACAATCAGATGCCCCAATTTCTCAAGACCTTGTCACTGAAATTTGGTACCAAAATGGTTGAAGTGCAACATTATGACTTTTGGAGGGGAGAAGGGTAAAAGTTAAGATTGATAATTGGATGTCTTTGGGGAAAGATTTTCAGGATGAGAATGGGAACAGTTTAGTTTTCCAGGTGCCTTCTATTCATACCTTAACTCCTCCCAGATCCATTAACGTGGAGTAGACTGAATTGATCAATATCAGAGCATATGATTGCTGACTCCTAAGGAAAATAACTGAGTCTGATGAGAGTAATGGGAGACAGAAGTATATAACATTTTCATGCATAGTTAATCTGTATACAGAATTTTTTTTTACAATTTCATAATAGTAGAATTTTAGTTTATCCACTGAAATAAAATGCAGGAAGAATTGTGGTCTGGTAGTACAAAGTATTTTTTCACACAGCACATAAAATTGAGGAATTTGCCATCAGGAGATGTAATAATGGCAGCCAGTCAAGGTACAGTAGCTATCAAAGGGTTCTCAATGTGTCATGGAAGTTTAAACTACCCATGTCAAATAATAGTGATATTTACTATCTCCTGAATCATAGAGGAACAAGCTTTGCTGAGAAGTAACTGGAAAAGGAGTTAATGTGCTTCGTGGCCTTTTCACATATTATAATGGGCTACCGTGTGATACATAATACTAGACAAGAATGTTCTTTGGCATAATTCAGCTGGATTCTTTTTGTATTTCTGTCTTGCAATAGTTTTTGTGGATCTGAAAGTGAGTAATGCAGTTATTGTCTTTGGAAACTTCTGAGGCTTTTTTTTAGGTATTCTAATTACCTCTTGCGGGATATTGGAAGAAAAGGAAAACCTGTAAAATATTTTTTTCTGACAGAACAGTGGAATCATTTCCCCAGATCATACAGCTTGATTTTAAGATTATTAGGTATTTAGAAAGTTTGACCTCTGATATGTGTCCTGTTCTTTGGAAATAATATTTTCTTTATGGTTTCAAAGTTGAGCATTTAGCTTTGTTTCAGATAAGGTAATTTTATGTGGTAATTTTATCAATTTGATCCTTTTTGTAGTCAACAGAAGGGACTATCAGTGAAGGGTATGAGAACATCCTCCTTATGTTCATGGAATTTTTGGTAATAAAAATGTTTCCCTTTAAATAAAATAGCCATTTTAAAAAAAGTGAAATGATAAATCAGTTTTATGCTTTACAATGACTATTCAAGATGTTTTAATCATAATCAGAACCCTGAAATAATCATTAGTGTCTTCTTTTAATTTTGTGCCATCAGGTTCAAATGCTTCTCACTGGTCATCTCTGATATCTGCCAGAAGCTCAATACAAGTTTCTGATTTTAGGACCTGGCATTGATAGTAAAAACACTAGCCCTCATACATAGCTTCATTTAGCTGAATAATCACAAATTGTTTTCAAACAATGTACATGTTTTTACAGAAGTGAAAAGGGCTGACTCAAAAGTGCAAATCTAATATTATAAATTTAGGCCACAATCATGTGTTAACATGCTTAGAAATAAACCTGATTGAATTTAATATGAGATATTTTATAAGATTCACTTTAAATTTCATTGCTTGGTAAAGTAAAGACAAAACTCACAATACATTTCAGAATTTTACTGAGTGTTTATAGTCAGCATAGAGTTTACGATAATATATTTCCCCAGATTGTAGTTTAGTGCACCACAACAAAATGCTGTAGCATATTCAGTGATGGTCTATGCCCTTGGTAAAGCAATTAGACATTTGCTTTATATTCACTCCTATTCAGTACTTTTCGTTGTAAGAGGACTTTGTTCTTTTACCAGAAATTCAGTATCATTTAGTTATTTGCTTTTATACCTCAAAGGGAATCTATGTGACATTGTTCTAAAAGTGTTTAATCCATTTATTTAATACAATCTGTAACACTGTATACCCTGTTTTCATTATGATTGTAGGATAACCTTCAAAAACACATTCTGGCACTGACTTTTCACGCTCTAATTATGAGTTTACCCAAATTCCAATCAGACCTGGTATTTCTCATAGTTACTTTGAGTACCCCTCTATGGAGGAAGAATAATTCTCATCAGCCAGCCATCACTAACCTGGAATTTCCATACTTAGGTTGTTGGCTTTTTTAGCATTCCATTGTTTTCACTCCATCTGCATCAACTGCCTCATATCACCCTATTGTAAGTGTGGTTTATTCTACATAAAGTTTTGTCAGTTAAAATATTAAATTTGCAATCACACTTTTCTTTTAAGCATTCTGTGCTGTATTCTGTTCAGTGTGGTGTCTTTAGTTCTGATTTTTCAATTTTGTCCCTCTCCTTTTCCTTGACGTTAGTCTGATCCAACCTCTTCTACCTCATCTGATGATTATCAATATGTTATGGAAGCTAAACTACAAGAAATGATCTCCATACGTAGGAAGGTAGTCCTACAGGACTTTACTTTCTATTGCTAAATAGAATCCATCTGATTTTGTTTTTATATTTTTAAGAACTCTTTTAATTTCTGTATTTATTTTATTGATAATCAACCATTGTGCAGTTCAATGCTTAAAGAGCTTACAATTTTATGATGGCAGGTTTGTGTTCAAACCATGCACAGTATGCATGTTACATTTGGCTGATTTCATTGCTCATGAATAACTCCAATGTTTTGCTGGATGCTTGGATGTAACAGGCCTTTGTAGCTGACACATTTCAAGCAATGCTGTTCAGCTGCCTGTTTGAATAAAATTAAGTTTTGCAGTTAGTAGTAGCTTGCTTTATATTTCCTTTTTTGAAAATGATCACTTTGATTTAAAAAGCTATTTAATGTTTCACACCGAATTATATTATTTTTATAGGCAGAAGAAAGACATGGCAATATTGAAGAACGCATGCGGCACCTAGAGGGTCAGTTGGAAGAGAAGAATCAAGAACTTCAAAGGGTATATACATGCTTACATTATAGTTTGAGTTCAACTCTTTATTCCATGTCACATAAGCCTGTAAAATGATAATAGCAGTCATTGTTATTGTTATTTTTCATGAACCTATAGCTTGGTGCAGTACAATATCAGGATATTGATGGGATAACATACTACAGTCCAGTTTAAAATAATAATAAAAATATAAAACTCCACTGAGAATATCAGCAGAAGTTTCTGTTTTTGTCCCAATGACAAAAGCAGTTGATTCAGTTAAATGTTTCACAGTTTCCAATTGAAACAGTCTATGTGAACTACTGACCATAAAAAGAAATGGAAAGGAAGATAGTCTCTTGAGAATATTAGATAGGAATGGGAAGCAATTTTGAATTATAACTGGAATACAGAGAAGAAATAATTAACTTTTTTTAAAAAGAACAAAGGTAGGTTTATTTTGAAGAAAATAAGACCGGTGGCTCATTTAGCCAGCCACAATTATATGGAGTTTTATGGAGGGTATAGAAGATGCTTCAAGATGTCCCTATTTAAAGTATCACTATTGTTATTGATCACAGGGGTAATTCTTATGAAAGCCTGTAGGTTACCAGCTATAGGTACTAGCCCCAAATTGTAGATTCATTTATTTATTCATCAAATTTGTACAGAATGCCACCCATCTCATGCAAAAGTGATTCGGGGCAGCATACAACAAATCTATTAAACAGTTAATATATAAAGCAATTATTATTAAAACAATATAAAACAATTTAAATGCAATAGATTGACGCATATAAATACACAGAACTAATAATAGTTGAATAAATTGTCATTAATCATTGGTTACCTAAACTTTTACTCTTATTTTCATGAGAAGTAAACATGAAAAAGTGAGTTCCAAAGATACTTTCAAAAAGCAACTGGACTTTCTTTCTTTGAAAACATTTAGCTTGTCTTCTGAGAAACTTCTTTGGTTCAAGTGAAACATATGACTATTTCTGGCACTTCTAAATATTTGATTTAAAATTACAGTGACCTTTTGAATATGACTAACAAATGAAGACCACATATCTCTATTAGAAGAAAAAAATCAGAATGATTACTCCTTACATCTATATTTGAATCTATGACTAAATGTTTCAACTAATAAATTTATTTGTTTCTCTGTACAACTATTCAATTTTATTCTCTCTTAGAAATAAATTTGTTTTTCTACATGCCATTTGATCATGGTATTAATATTATGATTTCAGATCAAACAAACCAGTGTGAATCTTTCACCAGTATTTTGAATTTAGTTAATGTTGAATCTGCTTGCTTTATTTCCTTTGAACTTTATTGAAAGGCAAGACAAAGAGAAAAAATGAATGAAGAGCACAACAAAAGATTGTCTGATACTGTGGACAGACTTTTGACAGAATCTAATGAACGTTTGCAACTACATTTGAAAGAGAGAATGGCAGCATTGGAAGAGAAGGTAAACAAACAAATGTGCACACTTTGCTTCATTTAAGTATATATTCATAGTTATTTTGCTTCTTTGCTTGATCCTATGGAATGAAGGGATTAAAAAATCTGAGGCACAATCCATGGCATCAATAAGAAATTCTTTTTGTTGTTTTTCTGCAGTTCCTATTGACTTTCTTCCTCTTTCCACTTCTCATAATGGCACATGGGATCACCACCAGAATTTTAAAAGTTTACAGCATGGTGCTAGTGGGTCCTTGCCCATTTCTACTGTCTCTTGTTATCACTATTTTCACTACCATAAACCTTTGGGTAGAGTCCAAGCCTTATAGTACAGTCATAGCAGTTTGCCATCACTACAAACACTTGGTACTTATCTGAGATATTAGAATGTGAAACTGATTTCTGCTTTCTATTCAGTATTCTCACCCTTTTGCAAGTCCCCTCATAGGAGCTCTGATTGCATGTTACCAGCAATGTCTGCAGCTCACAAATGAAAAAACAGTGTCTTAATTTTACATTATTAATCATATGATGATGTCAATTTTATAGTTGTATTAGTGGTAATATCTTTTAACATATTCAGTCTTGGATTGAATTAATGAAAGATTTTTAACAATATACCTATATGTTAAAGATAAAAAATTAAATATTGTTGTTATGTGTTTGATTTATTTGGTAACCTTGATTGGGTAATAATTATTTCACTAGACTTTATTTTAGCTTTTATTTCTATCTCTTAGAATGTTTTAATACAAGAATCAGAGAACTTCAGGAAGAATTTGGAGGAATCTTTACATGATAAGGTACCCTAGATTAATTACAGCCTTTATTAATAATGTTTTTTAAATACAGTCATAAGAATTAATTCAAGATTGCAATTATATGCATATATTTGAGAGCAAGACAATTGTCTTTATACAAATATTCTACACTGATAGATTGATTCAACATCTGTCCAGATAAAATGAATAACATTATAATGTTATTAGTTAATGTGGTCATTCAATGTGCAGTTCTAGCATAACATGTTGACCACCTGCTGTATCAATTCTTTTTGTTTACAATGCATTTTGAAAGTAACACAGGTGGAAAATAAACCAGTTAAATCTGTAGGAATGTTTTATCAGATGGTTTTTATGGTTCTTGCACACATATACTTTACTAACAAATATCTAGCTATAAAAATTTAATCTAATTCACCCTTCTGACCTCTGCCTCACATAATTCCAAAGGCAATATGCTAGATAGTGATTATGGGAGTTAATCTGCAAGGTATTACAGTAGGAAACTAGTTTAATCATTGCCACCTTCTAGGATGTTTACAGCTTCTCATGAAGATTAGTGTGCTGCTATGAGATTCCCTATGGTCTTCCATCCCAATACTAACAAGACTTGAGTATGCTTACCTTCCAAGCCCAGGAAAGATCATCCAAGTGTCATACTGGAGGAAAGCTAGAGAACTGATGTAGAGTTTTCTAGCATATGGTTCAACTATTCAGAGAGATGATATTATATGACAATAAAATTTGATGAATAATTTTGAACTAGCATGTATCTATGTTAATCGATTATTATTATTTGTTTCAATTTTCAGGAAAGATTAGCAGAAGAGATAGACAAACTGAGAGTTGAACTTGACCAGTTGAAAATACGAGCAGGTTCTTTAATTGAGCCCACATTGTCAAGGTAGTACAAGAAAACAATGACATTTTCTTTAATAATATTTTTTTGAAGTTTCATTCATAACATATTTAAAACACTCTTCATATGTGTGTGTGTGTGTGTGTGTGTTGTATTTGTGCTGATAAATAAATAAAGGGAGACTAGTATAGATCTATTTCAAGCTATTTAGTTCTCATCAGATATATATATATATATATATGGCTGTGTATGTGCGTATGTTCCAGCATAACTCTGGAACACCTGGAGCAATTTCAACCAAACTTGATACACAGATGACTTACCCTCTGGAAATACTGTGGGGGTAAGACACTCCTAACACCCCTCAAGGTGTGTGTTGTGTGTTGTGTTAAGATACAGCCTGTTGTGTCTTAAAATTGCTTCTACCATACTGCCATAAAATAGCTTCTACTATACAGCTTAGTGGAGTTGCCATGTTAATGGCTTCACAGTACTACACAAGGGGGCTCCCTCTGGTAAGGGAGAAAATCCAACATTAGAAATTATGTTTGGTCCAGGCATTTTCCTCCTATAAATAAATATCCAGGCAATGCACTGGGTTATCAGTACTAGTCATCCATAATAGGATTGTGAACGTTGAAATTTTCTGTCACCAGACTTAATAAAGACACTAATTTAAATGACATTAAAAGAAAGATTACATCTCTGTAGATAAGGACAAGAAATATCACGACTATTTTTTAGTTAGTCATTATATCCAAACTTGGAAGTATATATCTTAAATAACAGCAGGTTGGAAGCCACAGAACAGAACTGTGGCTGTTTATATGCTTATGACACAAAAGTATTCATTCAATCAATCAAATTTATGTGTCTGCCTCTATCACCATATAGTTTAATAGCTGTGGAAATAAAGAACAATAAATTAAATAAATAATAAAAATGAATCATGAGATTATAGAATTATAGGTTGGAAGCAGGGCAGGTTCTGCTTGCTGCTACTGCTGGTTTGCTCAAGGATGCATTGCGCGTGTCCGCTGTGCGCACATGCACGCTTGATGCATGCTAAGCGCACATGCAAAGTACTTCAGAAATGCGTCTGCAAATGTGCAGAAGCAAAAAACTAGATGGCGCCTACCAGTTCAGGGCGTGGCAGACCAAGTTATTACCTATTCGGCCAAGCCAGTCCAAACCGATAGGAACCCACCTCTGGTTGGAAGAAAGCTAAGATTATTATTTACCTTATTGTTTCTGGATTTATTTGGGATGATTTTATTTTATTTTTCAGTTCTTGGAACATTTTAATAGGAAATGAATTAGATAATAAATGAATTTCACTTATTAATTGCATGTGTATTCCTATTTTTTTATGGAATTCAAATACAAATGTCATAGATCAGTAAAATCATTTCTGGTCTATTCATTTTCAGGTGGGTTGTTTCATAAATTATTACATTTTATAATAATTTTTCACTTAACAACTTTATTAAGTACATTTTTGATGATATTTTACCATTAAATATACTTTTGTAAAATTGATTTCTTTTTAAATGCATATTTCTGAACATATATTGTTCTAGAATAATTTTTTAATTGAGAGGTACTGTGCAAAATTCATTGGTTTTGGGTTGCTTTGGGTCTTATTGATTAAACTGTGTCATCTATTGGAGCTAAGTAAATGTGCATTCTCTGTCACTGCATCCCTCATTTGAAATCTGTATGGCTGCCTTCTTGTTAGCATTGGGCCACCTAGATATTTGACAAAAAAACAAATGTTAATCTTGGAAGTAAGAAAGGAACATTTTTAGTTTATGTTGGTATGACCTAAGTATAATCCTCATGGCTTCTCTTTTAAGTCCCTCCCTCCCTCTCCCTCCCTCTCTCTCCCACCCCCCTCTCTCTCCTCAACTTGCTGGTGAATTGAAGTTTGAGCTTTTATCCTTTGACTCTATAATTCCAGTCTCATTTTTCTGATAATAAAAAAACACTCCTACATAAAAATATATTGATTGATCAAAGATATATATTATCTTTTCCTTTTTCATTAAAATGCAAGCCTTATAAATTCAGTGTGCAAGAAAGCATACTCTATTTTTATTGCTCTGTTGGTAGCAAAATGTAGGATGATATCCTCTGCATATGGTAAAAATAAATATATTCTAAATGAAATTTGAGGGTTTTTCTTAAATCTAAATCCTGTGCCACAATTGTTTTTCAGGACACATCTTGATTCATCAGCAGAATTGAGGTACTCTGTGGGCTCACTTGTTGATAGTCAACCAGATTATAGGTCTACTAAAGTGATAAGAAGACCTAGAAGAGGTCGTATGGGAATCCGAAGAGATGAACCAAAGGTTTATATTTTAATCATTTTTTCTTTAATAAAATTGCAATCATAAGCTCAGCTGACTTAAGGCCAGGACTGGAATTAAGTTTCCATAGTCCTTGCATATGTTTATAGATAATAGCTTTAATTATAGACATGTGGATTCTACAATTGGATCATAGATTTGTTTATTCATTCAGTTGGTAAGGCCACATTTCTTAGACATTGGCTCTATTTTTGCCATTCATATATTTAAAATGTAGAAAAAACATGTTTCTGCATGTGCATGTACCCACACACACTTCTAATTGTTTAGTCATCTTTGGGCCTAAACCTTTTGAAAACCCCAAAAGCTTCATATACTTAGGTACTGTATTGTTGTGCTCAGTTAATAATCTGGCCCTGACTGAAATTATCTCTCTGATAATTCTCACTAGGTAAAGTACATATTTTCATTTATTTCATTTCATTTATTAAATGAAATAACTCTCACTGGGTAAAGTACATATTATCTAAAGGCTATAAAACATTTTTGATATTTGAGGGAGAAGTAGGATTACATACTTTGGGCCTTAAAATTACACTAATAATGCAATTCTAATATGGTATTAAATATAAAACGCAATTACAAATCAGAGTATAAGAAGAAGAAATGAGATAGAGCTATTTGCTATTTATTACACCCAAATCATATTGCTCTATACAATTTTTTCAGGCTAATTCTTGAAATATTAGCTTCTACTATTCTACTTAGTTTACTGGATTGGAATCCATAGGCAGGGCTTAATGGAGGTTCAGTTTTCCAGTATAGTTTCATTTCAGCCTTTTTTTAAAAAAAATAGCAATAGTAATAGCACTTAGAGTTATGTACTACTTCACAGTGCTTTACAGCCCTCTCTAAGCGGTTTACAGAGTCAACATATTGCTGTCGTCAATCTGGGTCCTCATTTTATTGACCTCAGAATGATGGAAGGCTGAGTCAACCTTGAGCCGGTGAGAATCAAACTGCCAAACTCCTGGCAGCCAGCAGTCAGCAGAATTAGCCTGCAATACTGTGTTCTAATCATCTGTGCCACATGGCTTATAAAAGTGTAGTGTCCATAAATATTTCCTTTAAATTAAATCATCCTGGGATATCTATAATATTGTGTTATGACTTTAAATTGACTTATAGTGATAGTGGTCACGAATACAGAAAACAAAATATTCCTTAAACTATTTCGGGCCTCTTGTAAGATAAATCTTGTTATTTTTATAACAGACTGAAATTAAGATCAGTGTGATATTACAATGCAGCTGTTAGAAATTAATAAGAATGGTTTAAGTGCACAAATGGCTGAGAAAATTGAAAAGTGTTAATAATTGCAATGGTGTTTTAAAATATAAGCTCTACTGTGAAAATTAACATTTAGAATCAGCCTGATCTATATGCATTTCTACAATTCGTAATTAGGTAAAATCCCTTGGAGATCATGAGTGGAATAGAAGTCAGCCAGTTGGAGTTCTAAGCAGCCATCATTTTGAGAGTGACACTGAAATGTCTGATATAGATGATGATGATAGAGATACACTTTTTAGTTCAATGGATCTTTTGTCACCAAGTGGACATTCAGATGCTCAGACCCTTGCTATGATGCTTCAGGAACAACTAGATGCAATCAATAAAGAAATCAGGTATGCGTACTTCACACACACAAATACATACACACAAATAAAATCTTAGAACAATCCAATATTTTATCCCTAATAGTATAAAAACTAAGTCGATGTGATTTCTGGTTTCTTTATGGACATCTGATTTTCTTTGAAACATATATAAAAGTGGCTTGCCATTTGCCTTCTTCAGGATTTTTAAAAATTATTAATATAGGTTACATTTTTGCAAACTCCCCAAATTAAAAGATACTATAGTAGTTTTATGTACACCAGATTATAGTCAGTGTTTCTCAAAGCTAAAATATCTGGGAGATGTTGACATTAAAATGAAGAGGAATCCTAATGTTTGAAAGTACATATAATATGACCCTAGAAACCCTGCTGAATTCTTTGTTCATTTTTAAGCCTTTCTTGGTCTCTGAATGTTCTTAGAAAATTCTAGGCAAGCAGAAATCAGAGGTGAAAGTTAGATCAGTATTAATATTTTGTTTACACTGGATGAACAATATATTTAATACATTGAAAAAGAGATCCACATTGGTAAAAGACTAATATGCCAAATTATTATTTGCTATGTTGTTACAAAACCCTAATAACTATATAGTTGCAACATGGCAATAGAGAGGGGGAAATGGTATCCTTTTTCTCATGCTACTTTCTTGAGCCAAACTTATTGCTTTGAAAGCCTGTTCCCTCATAGTAAAAGCATATGAGCACAGCACATTTTCTGAAAGGGGCAAATAATAATTGACAGTTGTAACTGGAAATGATATGAAATTTAAAACGTAAACTATCATTCCAGCAGTTCAATGAACTCCCGATGCAAATTGTACTCATCATGGCTACTTTTAAAAAGAATTCTTAAAAGCTAAAAAAATTAAACATGAATATTTCTTGATGAACACCACTTAACCTATTAAACAATTTTATTTTTTAAAATGGCAATTAAATTTTGTGCATTGACATTTAATCTCCATCTCCACTGTTTTTGATGACAGCATATTAGTTCAGAGGACAAAGGGTGGGAGAGGCAATATGCAGCTCTCTGCTTCAACATCTTGCAATCATTTTCTGATATCTGCCACTTATGGTAATTACTCCAATTTACTTTGAAAGTATGCCATTCCTGTAAAGCATTCTGAGTAGTGGCCAGGAGAACATTCCCAACTTCTATTAACACTCATATTAAAACAATATTCTCACAAAAATGACTTTGTGATGTTCACTATTACAGGTTAATCCAGGAAGAAAAAGAATCTACAGAACTTCGTGCTGAAGAAATAGAAAACAGAGTTGGTAGTGTGAGTCTAGAAGGCTTAAATCTGGCCAGGGTTCATCCTGGAACATCAATTACTGGCTCAATAACTGCATCTTCATTAGCAAGCTCCTCTCCTCCCAGTGGCCACTCAACTCCTAAACTCACTCCACGCAGCCCAGCTAGAGAGATGGATCGGATGGGTATCATGACACTGGTAAGAAGTATCGCTTTTTCTTGATCACTACATTTATTTAATATTTAAGGAATCCTCTAAATAGGGTTATTTTTTAATTTCTTGTTTATTTCCTCTTTTTATTATTTATTTTTGGTTTCTGTGTGTGCATGTGCATGCACTTGCGATAATTTCTTATTAACTGTTAATAAGAATTTATTTTTTATAAATTTTTGATTTGGACCAATTTCTAGTGTTAATACAAGAAAAAGTAAAAGTAAAATTCTAAAAACAGAATGTGTTAATAAACTGTTGACATAGATACTTGCTATCATTTGTGCATTTGTAAGACAATATTTTTAAAATATTAATGATATTTCTTAAAACTGTAATGTAAGTCAGGGTTGGCAAACTCCCAGCCTGCGGGCTGAATGCATCGTGTGCTGGCCATGCTTATGCTCAGTTTAGCGAAGGGGGGAAAGGCCCGATATGTCATGTGATGCCACCGTGACATGAGTTTGATACCCCTGATGTAAGTGAAAACTTAGTCTGGTCTCCTTGAGTTCCAGCCAAATTTTGTTTTGGATTCAGTGGCAGTTGGGCTGGTGCAATGGAAAGAAATTTCATCCTAAGAGCTAATGGTTTTTATGGCTTAGAGAATCTCAGAATGTATCTTAATAAAAAGGAACACAACATTTATAAAAATCTATAATATTTCTGAAAATACTCTGTTTTTCTTTTCTTCGTTATCAACTCTAGCCAAGTGATCTCAGGAAACATCGAAGAAAGGTACTTTTTTTTAAAAAAAAAATGTTTTTTCTCTGACAAGTGTTAATTATTTCTAGCACTTTGAAATTTAGACCTTTACGAACATTTTCCCCAAGATACAGTTTTCTGAGGATGTTGAAATCCTTCAAGTCTTAACCCTCTTGCTTCATTGTAGTTGAAGCAGCTAATTTGGATGATCCAAGAAGAGATCATTGCATTCCTGTGAGGCAGACAGTGCCTTCTCAGGAAACCCACATTGGACAAAATGGAGCCCTATCTAAATGTTTAAGAAGGGACCCTATGTCACCTCTATTAGGAATTAATTATGTGACAGAACAAATAGAGCATACTTTTGATATTGTTTATACTGTATGTATTAAACATATCTCACCTTTTCCCTGGAAATCTCTTTTTCCTATTTATATTTTGTGTGGTACTGTATATTGCTCTGAGAAATAGTGATCAGATCATGTCACTTTGTGGGCTTCCTCAGCCTCTTTATGTTTATGGACTTTTGTACATACTAATTAATGATTGATAGTTTCCTTACTGTGAGGAGCCAATTTTATCTACCAACTTGTCCATTTTACTTCAAATGTTATTTATCTGACTGGCAAAGGGCAATGAAAATACTTCAATAACTCATTTGAATCTTGTTCTGCAGTCCTTTATTAGGATTTAAAAATGGGAAAAAGTTAAATAAACTTTATTTCCGCTTATATCCTACTTTGCATATCCTCTCTAGCTCAGGAAACTTATCTATAATTTTCTGAATTAAAAAACAATATGTAATATAGCAACTACAGCAAAAGTTAAATGTGTGTCTGATTCATATTCAGTCCTGGAAATTGGGACTATATTGCGATCATTGCATAACTTGTACTTAATACTTTTATTCTATATCTTGTTCTAGGAATGGGATGCTATTTGTGTGTTTGGTTGATTGGTTTCCTTACTTGGAAAGGAGTTGGTTTCCAATAGGCTTTTCCCCCCTCCCAATCCATTAAAAGGGTTTTCACCTGCATTTTATAAAACTGTTTACTTGTAGATTGCAGTTGAAGAAGATGGACATGAAGACAAGGCCACAATAAAATGTGAAACATCTCCTCCACCTACACCTAGGGCCATAAGAATGACTCACACTCTACCTTCTTCATACCACAATGATGCCAGAAGGTAGGAATTGATTTGTTTAGCATAGCCATGTGTCGTGTTAAGTGGATTCATCTATTTAAGTTGAGTTTCACTTGACTTTTGCTATGTGCTAGTTAAATTCAGTTGTCCTGAAATTTATTTAGATCAGTTTTTCAGATTTGCTTTCCATTTTCCATTTCCATTCGAATAACTGGCCTTTAATTTCATGCTCTTTTTGGTTAATCAAGTGCAGCATGATCATTTTCTGATATTTTCTTGTCATGGATTATAAATGAACAAATCAGAGTGTAATTAAATTTCATTGTGCTAACTATTTGTGTTATGAAGATAGTTAAATGATAGAGTTTTAGTATTTGGATACTGTATTGTAGCCCTTGCAGTCAGTATTTTTGATGGTGAGGAATTACCAGTGGTAATTTCTGAAGTAATCAGAGAAAGAAGTTTCTTGCCCCAAGGGAAACAGTAATTCAACCCGGGGGGGGGGGGAGGCCTGGAAGAAGTGGAGAGATGTCTAATGAATTCAGAAAGTAGAAAGAATAATTTTTAATAATTATAAAAAATAATAACAATAACATTGATTTAAACTTTTTATTCTTTTATAACATAACAAAAATCCATAGTAGGAGGATTTTTCTATAAGAACTTACATTTGACTGTAAAAAAAATACTATAATTATTTTCACTTTCACCCTAATTGAATCAGTAAATATTGCATGTTAGCAATGCTAAGTTTGGAGATTTTGCTGCCTAGTGCTCATGTATCTGTATATCCTTGCCACTAAGAAAGATAAATTAAAGGTTGACTAAGAAGATTTTATAAGCAGTAAAAGGAAAAAAGGGAAGTTGAGCATCTGAGAATTGACAGCTGTAAGGATGTTTTACAAACAGTTACAAACAGTTACACTTCAATCAATAAACAAAAAAACAAAAAAACAAAAAAACAAAATTTTAATTGATTTTAGAAGATAGCAATATTATACTCCATAGTGCTTTACAGCATTCTCTGAGCAGTTTACAAATGTCAACATATTGTCCCCAACAATCTAGGTCCTCTTTTTACTGACCTTGGAAGGATGGAAGGCTTAGTCAATCTGGGTTGGGATCAAACTCCTGGTAGTGGGCAAAGTAAGCCTGCAATACTACATTCTAACCACTGCACCACCAAAGCTCATAGGGTTCTCCTAGAACTGCTTCTCCTTCTTTAAGTAGGTCTATTTCCATTCTAACCAGTGGAATCAAGAAATGGAAGTCCCAATATATATGGATAACAACTGGAAAGGAAAACTTATCCCAATATATATTTATTAGAGTTTCATAATTACTCATATTCACTAATATTAATTTGTAAATCAGTCATGTGAATTATAATTGTCATATCTCTGAGCTTGTCATAAGTGAGAAATTGTGTACATATTATTTGTGTTTTGAATTAAGAATCTGATCTCATGCCTATACATAAAAATACCTTCTATGTAGATGGTTGATAGACAGGCAGACAGACAGACAGACAGATTCATTTCCATATTTTATTGAAAGAAGAAATGTTCTAGTAAGAATCATACTATTGCTCTCAAGTAAAAATGGATAGACTACGATAACCAGGATGAGTACCGTAAATAAACAAAGCAGTACTGTTGAATGTTCTTCTGACACTTCTGTCTAATTAATAAAGGAATAAATCAGAAGTCAAGCTTTGGCTTACAATACAAAATATCTATAATGTTAAAATAAATACAGTCCTTAAATAGGACTCACTGAAAAAGTGACATTGCTACCAGTGGTGAAATTCGGTTTTTTTTACTACCACTTCTGTGGCCGTGGCTTGGTGGGCGTGGTGTGGCTTGGTGGGTGTGACTTGGTGGGCGTTCAATTATTCAATTATTTCAATCAAGATTAAAACATGAAAAATGTGAAGTTCTAAATATTGCAAAAAAGATTCTGGTATTTTCACACTATATATCTGAAATTATTGTGATTATTGTTTCAAATTACTAAGATACTCTCATTAGATTTCATAAAACTTGTTTCCACAGCAGACAAGTTGTGGACTTCATGATGGAAATTCGTCAGGACAATAATAGTTTCTCTATTTTTTGTGTATCTTTTTTAGTAGTTTGATTGCATCCTTGGAACCAGAAAGTATTGGTTTTGGCAGTGTCAATAGCAGCCAGGATTCCTTGCACAAAGCTCCCAAGAAGAAAGGAATAAAGTCTTCAATTGGACGCTTGTTTGGTAAAAAAGAGAAGGCACGACTTGGACAGCTAAGTAAGACATACTTCTCCAGTTTCAGATCATAGCTTTCCTGTCATTTTTAAAAGTATTATTTTTTACTCTTTCATAGATGCTTTAGCTTCTCTTTCAGTTTCATTTTGCTTTCCTGTCTTTTAAAATGATTATATTTATCCATGTCATTCCGCTGTCATCAATCATGTTTACTGTCACAGAATTATATTTTCTTAAGTGATTGAAGGACATAGATTAAACTTCCAATAGAAGAGAATATATGTAGCTCAAGGTTGAGCTATGAGTCCTTAGGGCTCTCTGGACTTGATTGTTACCCAAATAAGCAATTTACAGATAGATGTCAACTTATGATCACAATTGAAGCAAAAAAATATGTTGCTAAGTGAGACATTCGTTAAGTGAATTTTGCCACATTTTACAACCTTTCTTGCTACGGTTGTTAAGTGAATCACTGCAGTTGTTAAGTTAGTGACACAGTTGTTAAGTAAACCTGAATTCCCCATTGATTTTGCTTGTCCGAAGCTTACAATAGGTGATCACATGATCCCAGGACACTGTAACCCTCATAAATATGAGACAATTGCCAAGAGTCTAAATTTTAATCATGTGACCATAGGGATGCTGCAATGATCATGTGTGAAAAATGGTCATGAGTCACTTTTTGCAGTGCCATTGTAATTTGAACCGTCACTAAATGAACTGTTGTAAGTCAAGACTACTTGTAATCAATACTAACATGATGCTAGCACTGAAGATGTTACCTAGTCAGGTAATGCAATGGCTACAAGCAAATAACCAGGCTCAGAGAGCATCAAGAATTCTAAAAATTAAGCTTTCTTTGCTAGTATTTGTCACATTACGTGAAAAGATTCCATTCAGAGGTAAATCTGCTGAGTTTTAAAAATCACACACAGTAAAATATGTGGCAACTGTGACATAAGACAGGACTACCAACTGCACATAATCATAGCTATCCTTCTATGACTCTAGAATTCTGATAGAAAATAGATTTCACCCATCACTTATTTGGCAAGATTTTTCCTTTGTCAAATTTTTCATCCTTCTTAAATTAAAAACAACTTGGGGAAAAATTTGCTACTTTATATCTTTCTTGAAGAATTTGCATAGCCTAGCATAAAGCTTTTAGGGATGCAGTGGCTTAGTGGCTAAAATGCTGAGCTTGTCGGTCAGAAAGGTCAATAGTTTGGCGGTTCGAATCCCTAGTGCCACGTAACGGAGTGAAATCTCATTACTTGTCCCAGCTTCTGCCAACCTAGCAGTTCAAAAGCATGTAAAAATGCAAGTAGAAAAACTAGGAACCACCTATGGTGGGAAGGTAACAGCATTCCATGCATCTTTGCCATTTAGTCATGCCAGCCACAAGACGACAGAGATGTCTTGGGCTCTTCAGCTTTAAAACTGTTATGAGCACTGCCCCCTAGAGTCAGGAACGACTAGCACGTATGTGCGAGGGGAACCTTTACCTTTAGCTTAGTATAAAGCTTTATTTATCATATTTGTAAAGCTTTCCATGTCACATGAATATATAGTTTATTAATTATAGTACACTGTAGTACAGTACGGAACAATTTAATGGCTATCGATTATTTACTCAGAGCCTAAAAACAGTTGCAGAAGAAAATAAAATAATAAATTTGTTAGAATGCATTCTCATTTGTAAAATAATAAAATAGAATGTTCTACAATGCCATTAAATAAACACTGAGAGCAGAGATGAATGTACTTATCACTGTTCATATAACATTTTATATTCTTGTCTATTTATATGATCCATCTACCTGGGCAGCTTCTATGGAAAGCATATGGGTATATTTAATTCATAACAGCCATCAGAGTTTAGGAGGACAGATTCTCATGATCAATCAGACAGAGCCCAGTGCACAAAACTTTCTTCTGATTTTTTTAATTGCTTTATTCATAACATAAATAAAAAACATTGTTTTTTTTTCTTTCAGCCATCTCAGATAATCCTGAAAACAGCATTTTAATTTAAGCAAGCGTACAAAAGAGATCTCTTTCTCTCAGTTCCTTCTTATAGGTTTAGCTATAAAAAATTATGGTAGGAAGTAAAGTCAACAGAAAAAGATCTGCTGCTTGCTCTAACATTAGAAGGTTGAAGACTTCCTTTTTGTCCACCACCCCTTATGAAAAACTCCTTTTTCCAGAAATTCCTTATCTTTCTCACTCCATGTTGTATTAAACTGTTCAAAATACATATGAACAGATTCATGTTTTCCAGTTGGAAACTAACAATACCAAAGTCTGTAAATGCTAGATTGGAGTATTACCTTAAATTTAAAATAATACAATCATAAAATATAACACAACAAATAGAAATCTTAAATGTATATGCCTAACAGTTGGTGCAGCCAAATATAATGATAATGCCATCTTTAACCTAAAGTTTCATTTTCATTTTTTTAATTCATTTTATTGACATTTATAGGCCGCCCTTTTCCCTAAAGGGACTCAGAGCAGCTTACATTTCATAGGAGGGGAGTGTAAGACAGGACACAAAAGAAATGTGAATAAAGGAAAATAACCAATAAAACACAACATTCATTCGACATTCGGGNAAAACACAACATTCATTCGACATTCGGGCGGGGCGAGATTAGTTTGATCTGTACTAAAGACAATCTACAAAAAAATGAACTAGCATGTACTTGTGCCAACAGTTTCTATTGTTTGAGAAAGTAATTCAGAAACTAGATAATAATTGATAGAAAATTACTATTTACAACATGAGTCACCTTTGCATTCCTGCTTCTTAAAAGCTGGTTTTGTATGGTTTATTTGCCAAATTGAATGAGCAAATATAAAAGATACAACCAAGTTTTCCTCTCTCCTATCTGGTGCAGTCATTAGTGCCTTATTCTAAAATGAACCAGAACAAAATCTCAACAAAGTTACAGCTCTAGGATGTCATTCAGAGGGATCCCTTAAAAAGAAGCTAATTGAGGTGAAATTGAGCACAAACAATGCTATTTTAATATTCCTTCTGCCAAGAACAACCATTTTGGCTTGAAAGGGCTTCTTGTCTTTTTAGAAAGTCAAATTAGAAGAAGAGAAAATATTTGAGCCTTGCTCCTTACAGAAAAACAAGGAGGGGGGAAATCACTTTTAGTTGGGCACTTTAAAAAGTTATTAGTGGAATCTCCATTCTTAAGTTTTAGCTGTCATAGATTTTGGATTACTACACCATTTTTATCTATATATGTGTGTCTCAGAAAACAAATCAAAAGCACTGCTGGTAAGCTAATAGAACATTATTTAAAAAAATTAAAAGAGAAAATCTCTTTACTCTTTTAAATGCAGGAGGCTATATAGAAACTGAAGCTGCAGCACAAGAATCTCTGGGCTTAAGCAAACTTGGAACCCAGGCAGAAAAAGACAGAAGATTAAAGAAAAAGTAGGTTGGCATGAACTTTGAATAAAACACCAAGTACAATTGCTTGTTGAAGAAAAATCAATGTATTAGTACTTATTCTAATTGCATTTTTAAAAGCCAAACACAATGAAAAGTAATTTCTACTTTTCTATATGGATTCCATTAAAGAAACATAGCAGGAGGATTCTTTGGATTTGTCTATTGGTAGCCCATTTTAAAATGCAGATATACTGAGAGTAGTAATTATGTTCAATTCACTCTGCCACTCTTACATGGCAATTTGATCAGTGAGTTACTGAACAATGATATGCTGCTTCCCATTGCATTTCCTTGAAACCCTAATTCATTCATTGTGTACAAAGGTTATGATAAAGTGCTATTATTTTTGATACCTGTCATGTTCCCTAAAAAAAATAAATGTTTTATAAAATCATAAAGAATACCTTTGAAGAAAAACTGAAAATACTCTGCTGATCTTTTTGAATTTTTGATGCTTGCTCTACCAGAAATCTTTCCAAGCATTTGGCAATGTTTATTTGTATCTAATGTGGGAAAACATATTTTGGTAAAATACTGTTCATTGCTTAGCCTGAGTATTCTACATTATGATGCAGCATTCTCAGATAAAATATTACTTTGATTATCAGAATGCATTATTGATTTGTGACTATATAGAAAACATTGGTAATATCAAACAAGATTGTTTCTTGCTGTCAGAAAATTAGCACTTAAATTAGCACTCCAAAAAGAGAAGAGATGCATTTTTTCTTAGTTATAGTTATTTATTAACAGTACAATAAATAAATATATTCCAATCAGAAACATTTTCTTCTAAAAATAATATAGAAGTATTAGATAAATAATGTATTACATTTAGTAATGTAAGTTCCCTCTTATGGATCATAAATGAAACTTCTAAATTTTCTTTTATTTTCTTTTTTCTTTTTTGCTACTATTGTTTCTTTATAAGGTTAGAAGTTATAAATCTTGTAAGATATTTTTTGTTTCTACTGGCACTCTATGCAAAAAAAATAGCATCACTAAATATTTTTATACAACCTATGTACTAAGTAGTTAGATGCATTCTGATATTTGTTAATAATAATGTTGTGATAATTTAAATAATATTTTTGAAAGACTTTGGTCTTGCTTTTTATACTTCACTTTCATCTCTCTCTATATGCCTGATAGTTTTCATTTATTTTCTGCTGGCAAAAACATATTTTAGGTACAAAAATGAGCATTTAATTTTCCCTCAAAATATGATAGCAGTTGTTGACATATTTATCTTAATAGTCTAGTAGAAATTGTATTTCATTATCCACTTTCTAATTACTTTTTCTGTTATCAGTTTTCAACAGACAATTCTATGGGGAAAAGGTGTGTAAATGAGATTATGATCAGTTATATCATAGCTCTGACAAGAAATCTTTGTGAAAAAGATGCTTGAAATCTCAAATATCGGTGACACCCTTCAAGCATATAATGACTTCAACCTGTTTGGAGCTTTCTTTATGTAAATTACTCTGAGCTAAATCTGGGTTATAAATGAACAAGTTATGATGGGGTGGTGGTTTCTAAAACAATTTACCACTACATTGGCTCTGGCATCAAAGTTTAGTCAAAGTGATTTACTGTATTTTTTCATTAAATAAGCCCAACTTGGTTGGTACTAACAGCACAAATTACAGAACAGTTTTCATAAACATGTTTACATTCAAAATATGTGTATTAGGGAAATCCCATCTTCAGTTGCTTAAAATTATAATATTGTATATAACTATGTAAGTTGATTCCTTCTAATTATCTACCTAAATTAAAAATGTCCAAGTTAACAGATTTGTGGAGGCAAAAAGAATGAAAGTTTCATGTTTATTAACAAAGCAAATCCAAAGGCATCCTTATTATCGTCTCAGATATAATTCTGAAGACAGTTGACTTCCCAGTAGGGAAAAATGTATTTATCATGATAAATTATTAGAAAATATTTCAGTGTTCTTTACTGCTAATTGCATTGATTCATTAGTTCTGAAAGAAAAAAAACTTGTGCAGTGTAAAACTTGTAATTACCATATGAATACTAGAAGGCTCCAAGAAAGTTCTGCATATTGCTCATTGCTAGGCAGAATAATCATGACTAAATGAAAGGAACAAGGGAAGACTGATCAGGTTAAATAAAAATCTGAAAGACAGGAAGTGTCTTTTTTCTAAAAATCTTGTTTAGGGATTTTTTAAATTGAATTTTCACCTTCCTATGTTCCTAAATTATTGTTATTATGGTTTGTCACATAGTCAACCAGATGTTGATTTTGGATATGGCACTTTGATCCATCTATCCCTCCCAAGAAAAATATTGTTGCTCGATGTTAAAAATGTTGTCGTAGCGTGTTTCAGGAAAGGTGCATTTGCAATTGATTGATGGTTGTTTTTTCAATGCCAATGGTGTTCCAGTGATGCTCCAAATGTTTTGGAGTTGCACCCAAGGCTCTTATTACTTTTGGTATCTGCTTTCTTTTGCCACAGTCATTCTACTTATATTTTCAGGTCTTTACATTTTGTGAGTCCCCCTCCCCAATTGTTTCTCTTCTGTTCTGCTGTCTCACAGTATTGCAATGTCCACTATTCAATTTTTTTGTCTTATCAATAATTGCTAAGTTTGGGGTGTTGTATGACAAATGCTTTTTATTGTTGTTATGTTTCATTGTAGAAACAGCCAGATGTTTAGACTATATTTGGCATTTTTATTATTGCTTAAAATGTTAGTTTTATCATCCGAGGCTGTATTTGCATATATATACAAATGCTGATGCAACTGCTCCATTGTCCCTGTGCTCTTATGTCCATTGACAATTTATATTAGGTGCATTTATTTGTTTGTTTGGGTATATCTCACCTTTATTATTTTTACAAATAATTCAAGGTGGCAAACATATCCAAATGCTTTTATCCATCCTTTATCTTCATAGATACATGAACACGAACACAGCAGCTTCACACTATTTGCTTATTTGGAAACATTGAAAATATCTTTCTACTTTATAAAATCAACACCCCATAATTTGTTTCTCTTAATTTTAGCTCCTAAATATATTCTGCTGCCAAAAAAACCAGATCTGACACACAAGAAGTTTTGAGTCTCTGGATACATTTTTTTTATACATTTTATACATTTTATTAAGATTTATAGGCTGCCCTTCTCCCTGAGGGGACTCAGGGCGGCTTACAATCATGAGGAAAGGGGGTGCAATAACAAGAGACAAACAATAAGTGAACAAAATAAAATGGTAAACCACAACATGCATTCAACTGTCAACACTCGGGCGGGTAAATTGGATAGAAGAACTGAGCCTTGCAGCTGCATCAAAGAACTTATACATCAGTCAAAACAAAGCACATTCCAGCCAGTGACTGTCAAGGCCATCTCCAAGGAGACCCACAGTGGGTGAAGGGAATGTCTTCTACAACCCACAAAATTGCTTCATTTGGGAAGTGACTGATGACACAATTTGGGAGGAGTTGGGAAAAAGGGTCAGAGCCAAGGCGCGAACTAAGTGAGGTCATAGTTGGCTTCACTTGTTTCATGCTGACATGGCACTCCTAATAAATAACTGGATTACTTTTGAAGCATGCCTTGAGGCTCATGATTTAATTAGGGCATCAGTCAGAACTCTGACAGCCAGTTATCCATATAACAGCAAAAA